GGAAAGAGCTGCCCTTGTGCAGCATGTGTTTCAGTACCTCCAGGACGGCTTGTCGCTCAAAGTCAGACAGCTGTTTCACAGCTCCCTGCTCCTTCTGTTCTTTCAAAAACTTGTCATACTCCTCCTGAGCCCTCTGCTTTTCTCCATTGCGTTGCTGCAGGTACTCAGGTACTTCTCCATAATCCTGCAAACAGGAATTGGGAACATTATGCAACATACTCAGTGTGCCCTTTAGTATACAAGTCCTAAAAATGGAACATTTAATCATATAATAGAGAAATGTATTGTAGATACTTATACATAATAGTAACTGTAACATCCTTTTCTGGTATTAAAAACTGTGTTATAGCAAAATTGTATATATGTCTGACTCTTGCATGTGGCCAAAGTGTGCATTGTTCCTCAAGCTATATTCAAAGTTTATTATTTGTGTGTTGTACAATAGATAAACACCTTCTTCTTGATGTACTTGGGGACAAGTCCTGAATTATCAAGACACTGCTTGTGCCCCTTGTTGCTGTCTACAGAGGTGGGCTGTGGCTTCATCGGCACTGCTGTGGTTGTCTTTATAAAGTTTCTCTTGGTGTGAATACCCATAGGCGGCCTCTCTGTCTTTGTAGGAACAGCTGGTTTCTTCACAGTGCATGTACTATGAGCCACTTTCAAGGATTGTGATTCTGCAGAAAAAGAAATATAAAAGTAAGTGTTTCAGATGAATACATAACACAGTCAGAGATTTCCCAAATACTGGTCAAATAATCTATTGATGGACTCACTTTCAGGTAATTTGGGCTCTTTTGAATGCTTCTTGAGGTAATTATCTGGGACAGGCACTTCTACTTTGGCTGGTCCCATCGTTCGCATTGCATCCTTAGCTAACTTTTTCTCAAGAGCAACCATTGGCCTAAACTTGGATATATACCTTCAGAGACAGTACATTGGAACAAATTATCAAGTTATATCAAAATTATATCAAAGATTTATGAACTGAATAAAACTAACAGAATATAAAGAATATTTTATGTTAAAATAAAATTACGGTTTTGGAAAAATTAATAAGGCCAAAGACTTTAAGCAGGAACACTACTTTCTATCTGGTGCCACAGCTAAACCAAGTAGTTAGGTAGAGGCCGTCAGCTGTTTTCTGTTTGCTGCCACTGCATAATCTTGCCTACTGACTGCTGGTGGAAATAACTTGGCTAAAGTTAACAATACATTTTTAGTAATAATACTCATAAAGATACCTCGGCGGTTTTTGAGTCTGAACCTTTTCCTCTGTAATTAGATTGTAGACGCTTTCTCGTGGATGAAAAACTTCAGACATGTTGAAGGACGGGCGAAGGATTTAATATTCAAGTTAAGGTTAAATAAGATCGGCTAATAACAGAACAAACTTGACCAAGCTAACATAACTAGCTAAACATTTGTTTACCAACACGCTACCGGGGAGTTGCTAGGCAACTGCTGGAGCAAATGTTGCATTTTCCACTGTCGTACAGTAGTCAATTTGAATTAAATCACGCATATCTATAAGTTTATTGTGGACGGTGCCCTAAATTCTCGTGAGATACTAATGTTCAGAATTTTTTTTATTTATCTAACAAAAAATAATTTTCATCCTATGTCATACATTATTTAGATGTGTGCCGCTTGTTTATAATAGTTCATAGGTCACCAATAACGTATGCGTCTTAGGATGTATTATCTTCTTTAATCGTATACTTGCGTCCATGTCTCAGATTTCCATGAACTGATTTTTTTTTCTTTTTGTTAGTTTGGTACTAATGGGCGTTAAATTGTACTTTAGTGTTTGAGGCAAGTTTTCAGGCGTTCCTGAAAGCAACACAACTTCGCTTTCACAGGCAGGCAGCTAATACAGCGACAAATGTCACTTATACATATTGATTTCTCGATACTTTATTAAAATGCATTTAGAATAAAACATGAAATAGTGTGTATTGTTTTGATTCAACTAAAAGCTGGCTGACTTTTTGTATTCTCATCATGCCTCCTGCGAAATAAAATTTAAATTTGTCCCTTAAGGCAGACCGTAGTTATTTGTTTATCTTCCTGTAAAGTAAAGCGGTATCAACTATCACTTTCCCCGTTAAAATAAGCGATATAGTTACAGACGCTGCTAAAAATAATACTAGTTAAGTTTGGTGTACGGAAATTCACCGTTTTACATAAGAGTTTGGCGCACTAAAGGTATCGCGAAAACATTTCTACTACTCTCTTGGTTTCAAAACAGCTGCTGCAGCCACTTAAACCCATTGTAACTTAGGTACTCTATCGCAATAAGACACATTGGCTGAACACTGTTTTGATCGCCTCATTACTTTCTTTACGGGAGAGAACGCTGTCATTAGACTCCTAATGGGTTTACTGAATGCAGGTAGTCAATTTGCATTTAAAGCTGCCAGACGTTGTCAGAGACACTTTACAATATCAAAATCATGGCTGTCCACCAAAGCACCCCTAGTGGGGAATGAGAACATTCTGCTTATGGGCCCTCCTGGGGCAGGGAAGACCACAGTGGCAAGGCTAGTGGCTGAGAAACTAGGACTGCCAGCCATTGATGTTGATGATGACATCCTGGAGACGACCTGGAAGATGCCTGTGGCTGCCAAGCTGGCAGCAGTCGGTGGAGAACGTTTCCTGGAGGAGGAAGGTCAGGCCTTGTGTAACTTCTCTGCTTCTGGGTGTGTTGTGTCCCTGACGGGGTCGAACCCTCTACATTCTGTGGCTATGCAACACGTCAAACGGACCGGACTGTTTGTCTACCTGGATGTGGACAGTGAGGACATCTTGCAGAGACTGACCAGGATGAAGGTGAACAGGATAGTGGGCCAGGAGGCAGGGGTATCCATGAGGGATATTCTGCATTACCGGAAGCAGTTTTATGAGAATTGGCTTGATGTGCGAGTGCTGTGTGGAAGAGGGGACACAGTGGAGGAATTAGCAGAGAAGGTGGTGAAGGCTGTGGAAAGATATCAGAATCATGCTGCAGAAACCTACGTGTCCACAAGATGCGACAGTGAGGAATCGTCCAAACAGAAAATATACTTTAGTGATGTGGTAGTAGAGGGTCTGGCCAGAGATGAAGGCCTCTATGTTCCCAAAAATGGATTCCCACATATCAGTGCTAGTGAATGGCTTAGACTAGCTGACATGTCGTACCCAGAAAGAGCATTAGTTTTACTTGAAAAGTGCATACACCCATTGGATATCTCTGCTTTGGATCTCAGAACAATGATATTCAAAGCATATGGGTCCAACTTTTCAAGTGAGGCAGTTGCACCTGTAAAACATCTCAGCCAAAATTACTTTATTCAGGAGCTTTTTCATGGCCCCACCGCCTCTTTTAAAGACTTTGCCTTACAACTGATGCCCCAGCTTTTTGCCTACTGCCTCCCACCAATGTGCAACTACCTCATCCTGGTAGCAACATCTGGAGACACAGGAAGTGCTGTTCTCAGTGGCTTCAGCAAACTCAGTGGCACCGACAGACACAGGACCGGAGTGCTGGTGTTTTTCCCAGAGGAAGGGGTGAGTGAGATTCAGAAACACCAGATGATGAGCTACAGAGAGGGCAATGCCAGGGCGATGAGTGTGCAGTCAGACTTCGACTTCTGTCAGAGAACCATCAAGAGGATGTTTGGAGAGTTAGGGTACCTTGCTGTGGAGTACGGCACCGTTCTCAGCACTGCCAACTCCATCAATTGGGCACGGTTGTTGCCTCAGGTGGGTAGATGATCACTGAGTTTTTTCATGGCAGACATTTTGACTTGTCATAGTAGAAAATGCACAGGTGTTAGTAATAACATTAATAACAGCTCTGCGGTAAACATCCCAGTAAGATGAGACTGTGTGGAAGTGAGCCACAACACCAGGACTCTGAAAGTGAAGCAGCTAAACAGCTCAGTTTATTTTTATTCAATATCCACTTCATTTGTTTCAGAGAAAACATTTGTAGCTTTTCAAACTTGACCTGCATCACATGAAATCTTATCTTAAAGTGAGAATCTTGACTCTCAGCAAAACTGGTGCTTAAGATTTAATTTGAACAAAGGAAACATCTCAGTCTTTTCTGGAATGTCTATGATTTTAAATATGCTTAGATCATAAATTCAGATGAATGTTTTAATATTAGTTTTTGTATATTTATCCATTTGTTCAGCAAATCAATCAAATTTTAATTTGCCTATGTGATGCTGGGACAAACTTTTTTCTTAAACGCAATAAACTTTAAGTCAAAAAGAAAAGAATCCACCTAATTAAACAAGTGTAGAGTGTAAAACTAGCTCTCCACCAGTAGAAACTACATAGGGCATGACCTACATTTTGTTCAGTCATTGTGACAGAATGTTATGATTTTTGGTTTAGATTTTAATTCATGCTGCAAAAAAGGGAATTGACATAGATGTTCAGTCAGATACAGTGACTCTGTAAAATGTCGTTTACAGTTATAATAGACAAGACAGTAGTTTTTCATCATCTTTTCACCTTATGTTTAATTCTGGTGTTTTATTGTAATTTTATCTCATTAGTATAAACACAGTATGGAACAGAATTTCTGCCAGTGCCCTCCCTTAGGTTAATAGTCAGGCAGCATATGTCGCAGCATTAAACACTGTTTTGCAAACGTTCTTCCCTCTTGCAGGTGGTCTACCATTCCTCAGCCTATCTGGATCTGTGCAGAGATGGGGTCATCAAATTTGGGGCACC